TTCAAGACTTAACATATACCACCATCTTTCGAACCCTCTATTCCAGTCAAATTGGCTTTCTTGCCCTTCCCCCCATTCCTACCTGTGTACTACTGCATGTGCTGAGCTCCTACTCCTGAAATCTACTTCCTGTTCATCATCACCTCTCAAAACCCCCAGCTTCTGTCAAAGCTCAGGTTAGGCACCATCCTCCACCGGAAGCCCATCCTGCTTCAACCCAGTGGCTAGTGCTCTCTCCCAGAAGAATTACTTTAAATATACTTTGTATTTAATTTTCTCTCCCCGTGTTTTTCCTGGCCCCAAACAGAATGTAAGCTGTGTGACAACAGAAAGTTTCCTGAATACCACATTCCCTCCCCAAGCTCTGCATCCTCAACAGCTATCATAGTGTCTGGAATACAGCAGGGGTTTAATAAATACTTGACTGAACCACTGAACTGAATTTCTTTCACCCCAACACAGCCAAACCTCCCTGATTTTTATATGCATCCAACTGCATTTGAAATCCAACTCAAAACAAACCCTTCTGTATAAAGTATAGAAGATACCAAAAGAGCACTATGAAGGCCCCACCACCAAGAGAATTTATTTATTTCACTGTGCACTGCTCCAAATTCTCCGCGCTAGAAACAGTGATTAAAAGTAATTAAAAGTCTTTTCAGGGCTGCTGATGATCCCGGTCTCTTACAGGAACAGCTACACCACAAAAATCAGAAAATGAAACCTTCTGCGGTTAAATATCTAGCGGCACACACTTCCTCACGTGTTCACCACAAAAACCACCCCAGAGCAAGAAAAGTAAACGCAAAAAACAGGCCCAGAGCTCCAAAGTGCTAGGATAATTCACGGAAATTAATTTCGGGGCTGGGCCCCTGGACTCTGAGTTTTGAATAAAAACCCAAAGCAACATTTTTAAATGTGCTGCTATAATACACATATTGACTCTGGTAAATATTGATTGCTCTAGCTAGGAGTTTCAAACTCTACGGGTCAGAACTACATTTTAAATGACAGTGGAGAGAAAAAAGGAATCATTTCAGCTAATTAGCCTATAAGCCCTAGAATGAATCCAAGAAAAGCAGCATTTATGGAGGTTTTTGCTATTAAGTTTAAGGGTCTGTTTTCCTATTCCAACCACCAATGGAGAAAATGATCAAGGAAAGAATGATTTGCCTAAAACTGAAGACAGCCAGTCAGAAAGTAGCTTACGTATACTTCTGTAACACTTACTGTGACTACACTGACAGAAGACTTTAATAAAACACTCAGAAGGAGGAGGCAAAAGAAGAGCATGGCTTCTTTTGAAGAAAGTTGTAGCCCCACTGTGCTCCAAAAAAAACACCCCACTATGATACACACCCCATGCTGAATTTCATGCTTTTTAGTATTCAAGAGGAACCTGGAAAGTTGTGCAGGAAACCTGGAAGAAGACTAACTACAATACTTCATTTAAGGATGAAGGGTTACTTGAACCCAGCATTCCTTGACTCTAGTAGGAACCTAGAAACAGCGTTCCTTATCTATTGAATACCTATGTCAAGTTCATAATGACCAGTTACATAAAAATAGAATCAAGTTATAAAATACTGAATCAGTAATGATTGACAATCAAGGGTTTTAATCTTTCATCGGCCATTTCAGGCAGCAGGGACAGGGGTATAGTAAAAGTACTGGACAGAGAGTCAAAATCCTGAATTAAAGTCCTGGTTCTGACAATGACTACCCTATGAGTCTCTACCTATGAGCTTTAGATTTCTCATTTAAAAAAACAGAAATAGGGGCAACTAGTTGTTGCAGTGGATACAGCGCCGGCCTTGGAGTCAGGAGGACCTGAGTTCAAATCCAGCCTCAGACACATAACACTCACTAGCTGTGTGACCCTAGGCAAGTCACTTAACCCCACTGCCTAGCCCGAAAAAATAAATGAACGAATGAAATGAAATAAAATAAAATAAAATAAAATAAAGAAATAAATAAAAAACAGAAACAGCATTTATATTACCAGGACAGGTAAAGGTTCAATGAATAGAGTACTGGTACTGGAGTCAAGACTCCTCTTCCAGAGTTCAAATCTGGCCTCAGGCACTTGCTAGCTTGTGTGACCCTGGGCAAGTCACTTAACCTTGTTTGCCTCAGTTGTTCATCTATAACATAAGCTGGAAAAGGAAATGGCAAACCCCTCCAGTATCTTTGCCAAGAAACTCCAAATGGGGTCATAAAGACTCGGACACACAGAGTTGATGAAAACAACATTTTGTAAGCTATAAAGCTATGTACATGTGGACCCTCAAACCATAAACAGCTGCACAGGAAAGAATTAAGCTCACTCATATACAGGTATCATGGTATGGTGGAGAGACAGGCAGCCTGGAATCCAGGAAGAGCTCGGTTCAAGTCTTGCTTCTGACCCAGACTGGCTGTACAACCCTGGATACCACCTAATCTCTCAGCACTCTAGGCAACTCTTTAAGTTACAGAGAAGGGTCTGATTTGCACTGATAGAGAAAGTATCCTCACCTGGGAATTCCCTAGACCAACAAAATTACAGACCCAGTCTTTATCTTCCCTGTGGCACTTTACACATGTTATCTCATTTGAACATCTAGTCCACATGGTTAACGCAGGCAGCAGGTGACACAGTGAATAGAGCGATGGGCCCAGAGTCAAGAAGTATTGAGATCAAGTCCAGCCTCAGACACTAACTAGTTGCGTGACCTTAGGCAAGTCCCTTAAACCTCAGTCTGCCTCAGTTTCCTGATATAAAATCAGGATAATAACAGCACCTATCTCCCAGGTTGTTGTGAGGGTCAAATGAGATCACATTTGTAAAGTGCTCAGCACAGTGCCTACACATAGTGAGCACTATCTAAATATTTGATGGTACAAGTACTCCCAATTCTGCAGAAGAGGTAAGTGAGGCCCAAAGAAGCTAAGTAACTTACCCTAAATCATACAACTCATGGTGGCACTAAGGATCTTCTGATTCTAAATCCAATGTTCTGTTGTTCACTCCCTTTCCCCAACCCAGCTGCCTCTAAGGGAAGGGAAAATCTATGGCTTTAAGTTGCATTAATCTATTCAACTTTGTTCTCAAAACAGGTTATCAAAAATTCTACAACTAACCTAATACATGTCTATAAACCTTTTCCTCTCAAGAATAGAGATGAAAATGCACAGCAAAACAACTTCCATTAACTACTAATGCAAACACCTAGAGGGCAAAAAGTAGCAGCTCTGCCATCCTGATCCACCACTCAGCTTGGCAGAGGAAATGAAGAAACCATACTACTGGAAATGAGGGAACAATTAAGATAGCAATAATATTAAGGCATCAGGATTGAAACACCAATTCCTAAGATGCTGCCATTAGCTTTTTTAACAGGCCCTAAATTAGCCTCACGATTTGCCTGGGAGGGGGTAAAAATCCCAAGAAAATTGAAATGTTGGCCGCCACTCCCAGAAAGTGGCACTGTTGGCTACATTCAACTCCAAAAGATCCCTCAAGATACCCTGGTGGTCTCTACTTACTGAAGCCTTCTAGCTTTTCTATGAGGCTCTTCTTCAACTCAAATGTAGACCAATCATTAGCCACCCACCAAGGCTGCACAAATGAGTGGCTGACCTGCATCCTTGAACCTGACTTCCATTTTAAAGCCAAAAGCACATGCAAGAGACACCAGTAAATTCACAGAAAACCACACATCCCACACTTCCTCAGTCTCACGGGAACCTTAGTTTGGTGCTGATAGCCAGCGTTATTCTAATAACAGCAATTCAAAGCTTCTCACTTTCCCAAGGCTCAGAAACTACCTCCTCTCAGTGACTAACAATATAACAAAAACCTTTTGTCAGCCCTTGCAAACACTGCAAACTATTATGAGTTTCCTTCCAGGTCAGATGCCCCCAAGAAATATGTACATCTCAGAAGTATCCTCAAACACCCAAGTTTGCTCCTCTCCTCCCAAACATAGCCTGTTTCCCCTCACGTTTGAAAACAAGGATTTACCAAGTCTATTGATGGGGGGTGGGGGGAGGAGTGGAGGGGGAGGGCTGGAAACCTAGGGAAGGTATTTGCCCAAGGCTCCCATCTAGCACCAGGGACAGGGGAGGCACTCATTTTCCTCCTTGGTAAAATGAGGGGGTTGGATTGGATGGCTTCTAAAAAGTCCCTTCCAGCTCTGACATTCCTTGCTTTAAAGGTCTCTTTCAACACAGATACTCTTTGATTTCAAGGCCTACTTCTAGGACCGAAGTGTCCGTATCTCTACCACCCATACAGGCAAAATCTGATATCCCTGGTGCTCAGCTCACAAAATCAGCTTGCTGAAAATCAAAGCCAATCCAGCCGAGGTACATTTAACTCGAAAGCTCTAGCCACATTCAGTTTACTGTCCTCCCCTTAGCCACAGCGGTCAGATTTTTTTGAGGGGTGGGACGCTGCCTGCAAAGATGGAATCTCCTGATTCTGTCCCTGCCTGCCCGGTTGACTCGCCACAAAATATTCTCAGAATTTGAGGGGGGGGCCCGCTGCTTTGCAAATGACCTCCACGCATCTTGGGGGAGGGGGTTAAGTCCTTCAACTGGCCCTTATTTTCACTGACAACAAGTCATAGGCAGGTGGCAAAACCTAGGGTAGCTTCAACAGGTGTGCCCAGGGAGAGGGAGAGGCCCGAGACGGGATGACGCGGGGCACGAGAGGGGGCTCGGAGCCGGGGGGAGGGGGGGCCGACGCCGCCCCGGCCCGGGGACCCTACCAGAATCCTCGGGGCGTTCGCGGGGAGGAGGCACTGACGGAGCTAAGGGAGGGAGGGCGCTGGGGGACCTCTGCAGCCTGGACCGGACCCCCGGGGCCAAGACAGAGCCAAGGCCCCGGCCGGGCTCGGCCCAAGGCGCGAGCTTCCTCTCCCAGTAGCGGGTGATCGATGGCTGGAGGGGGGTGGACAGGGGCCTTGCCGCACGGGTGGGGAAACTGAGGCAGGGAGGGGCCGGGCGGGGCTCACCGAGGAGAAGCAGCTTGAGCTCCCGCCGGGCATCCCGCTTGTCCCGCCGCAGCTGCTTCTCGATCTCGGCGTTGATCCGCTTGGATTCCTTCACCTCGTCGCTGAGGCAACACGCCATCATGGACTCCAGAGTCATCGTCCCGAGGCCCGCGGGGCCGCCCCCGCCGCCGGCGGCGCCCCCCCGCCTCACCGAGCCCGAGCCCGAGCCCGAGCCCTCGGCCTGGGCCTGAGCCGGGGCCTGGCCGGGCCCCGCCGCCGCCGCCGCCGCCGCCGCGGCTGCCTCAGCCCAAGCCCGGGAGGGGGGACCCTGCGTCCGCCTCAGCCGGGAGCCCCACGGCCTCCGCCGCCGCCTCAGGCCAAGCGCCGCCGCTGCCGCTGCCGCCGCCGCCTCAGGCCAGCCGAAGTCCCCTCCCTCCCCCCACCCCGGGCGCCGTCCCCTCACCGGCCACCGTCCTCCTCCCCCCTCCCTCAGGCCAACCGCCGCCGCCGCCGAGACCGAGCGACCAGGGCCGGACAACCTAACCCCGCGGCGCTGAAAACAACCTCGTCGCGAACGGGCAGGCGCTGCGGCCAATGGGAAACCGGCGGCGTCCCCCCCCCCCAGCGGCCGGGCGGGGGGCGGGACTTCGGCGGGAGGTGATCAGTGGGGCGGGGCGTCGGCCGCCGCGGCGACGATAGTGGCCGTGGTAGCGGCAGCGGTAGCCGCGCGCGGGAGGGGAAGGGAGGGGCCGGCAGCGGAGAGGGGCAGACAGGCAGGCAGGCAGGCGCGTTTGGTTGCGCCTCAGCAAGGAGGGGAAGGGGCAGCGCGCAGGCCAGAGCTCCCGGGGCGTGGCCGCTCGGGATTGTGGGAATGTGGAGGACTCTCCTGCCGCTGCCGCCGCGGCCCGGGGGGGTGGGGTGGAGGGGGAACTTATGGGGAGGGCTTCGGGAACTGCGTGCCCACCCGAGCCCCGCAAGGATGAACGCGTTGTGGCGACTTCCGGCCACAACGCATGGGGGAGGGGGAAGGATTGGGGAGGGAGTAGCGGGGAACTGGGCGCTTCCCCGAGCGATCGCCGTCCTCCCCATTTTACAGATGGGGAGACTGAGGTCCGGCCAGGGAGGGGCTGTAGCGGGCGCGGCCTGTCCGCTAGCTGGCTATGTGGCCTCGGACAAAGCGCCCCCCAGTCTGAGCTGCGATGTGGGGGAGGGGAGGGTAATCGGAGGCCCTGGAGTTTAGTCCCTGCTGTGAAACCTTGGAAAAGTTACTTCCCTTCCCCGGGCCTCTTTTTCCTTCGACTTGTATTAAATATGAGAGTTTTTTAATTTCGTCGGGTTTTTTGAAAAATTAATTCTCAGACTTCACTTGCCTCGGTTTCCTCCATCTGTAAAATGGAAGAATAATACCGGGCAAACGCCCAGCAAAGTTACAGTAAACGAGTCAGGAAGATACTCCTTGGAGTCAAGTTCGTTAGGCTACCGCTCTCTGCCGGGCATTGGGGGTGCTAAGACAAAAAGCCCCAGATCTCGGGGGCTTATGTTCTGCTGGAGATGCTGATGATACTTGACGTTTCCATGGTGTTGAAGGTTTGAAAGGCATTTGAGTTCTTGAATCCTTAGACACTGTGTGACCCTGGGAGAGTCCCTGGAGTTCTCTCTGCCTCTTAGGTGGAGAACAGGGGTCATAAGAGTATATACCTCCCAGGGTTGTTGAGATCATTTGAGATAATAGATAATGAGATAATAGACCTTTGCAAACCTTAAAGCACCGTGAATGCTGGGTATCATTAGTCCTTCAGTGGAATGTTAGAGCCCTAAAAAACGGGGACTTATTTTCTTTTGTATCTTTGTATTCCCCCAGTCTGGCACACCGTGGTTGCTTTATAAATGCTTACTGAATCTAACAAGGGAGAAGAGGGACTAGATTATCTGTGATGGGCTTGCAAACTCAGATTCTGGGATCTAAGGGTCTGCTCACCTTTGAACAATTCTGATTCTTGACTGCTATGTAATTATAATCGATCTCCTAGAAAAGAAGAAACAATGCAACCCCCCTCCTTTCTTGGCAGAGATGGGGAGCTATGGGCATGGAGCACGGGATAGACTGTCAGACTAAGCTGGTGCGATGATTAGTTCTGCTCAACTATTTTTCGCTCTCATCTCATTTCTTGTAACAAGTTACAAGGGATGGCTGAAGGAGGAATCTTAAGAAAGACTTTCAGGAAACTATCAGGGTGAAGAGCTAAGTAAGGCTCTCAATCCTGAACTCTAGGACAGTGTTTCTTTCACTGCAGCCATTTTCTGCCCTATGAAGTTTGGGTAAGGAGTGACATGAACTCTAGGAAAATCATTTTGGCAATCTTTTTGGAGGATGGACTAAAGTAGGCAGAGAATTGAGACAGGAAGAATGATGAAAAAGTTTTTGCAGTAGTCCAGGTTAAGAGGTGAGAGGTACCTGAGTTATGCCTATAGATGTGTCAATAGTGATTGAAAGAAAAGCTTCTGGTGACAATGTGGAACACCCTCCAGGACTAGTTCCCCACTCCTACTCTCCTTTGCCAACAGGTTCCCTAGGGGACAGCTGACTACTCCCCTCAGGGTTGCAAAGGTAACCCTGAGGGGCTGAGATTTATAGTACTGTCAGACCTCCCCGGTGTACTCCCCACTGATTATAAACCAGACTTAATTAGCCTTCAGAAAGGTTATTTACTCAGCTGGTATGGCAAGGATGGGTGTTAACTGAAAGATCTCTCTCAAATGGGTCTATACTCCTTCCTTGCACACCAAGCCTCTGAGGGAAATAAGCTCAAACTTAAGAGTGTGCAGCCTCTGTGGCCAAAGGGTGATCTCTCAGCTCCTGGTCAGGAGACATTGTGGGGGTCCTCAGCAAGCTCCCCTTAAATGTAGTCCTCTGCAGAGCTCCAAGGATCACTGCTGTTACAATCCTATAGCAACCTTTCCTCAGTTGTCTTTCAGCCCGCCATCCAGGTGCTGTGAACTGCTACAGTTCTAGGAGCATTGCTTCAGCCTGCAGCGGACCCTGCTACAGACTACAATGGGAGCACCAGCTCTTATGGCCTTCCAAAGTTCACGAGGTCATCTCATCAGCGACATGGCAGAGGAAGAAGAATAGGCATAGGAGGGATGGAATGATTAAAAAAATTATAATCAGATAAAGGACTTTGAAGAGTCCTTAAACATGGAGATGGAATACTTAGGGGTGCTGGCAAGATCAAGAGTGTGACCATCCATCCCAATGTGCAGCAGAAGTTGAGTAGAAACGTAGGTTATGAGAGCTAAGTAGGTTGAAGAACTAGGAAGTTAAGGTATTTGAGAAGACTTCAAATATGTTGAAATCTAATAAAAAGGCAGAAGTTGGGGTGGAGGGGGGAAATGTGAGCCAGGCACTGAATTCATCGAGAAAGGAAGAAGACAGATCAAAGAAAAAAGTACCCATATGTACAAACATGCTCTTTTTGTGATGGCCAAGAGTTGGAAACTGAGGGGATACCCATCAACTGGGGAACAAGTTGTGATATATGATTGTCAAGAAAGATTTCAGAGAAACCTGGGAAGACCTGTATGAACTGATGCAAAGTGAAGTGAGCAGAACCAGGAGAACATTCCACCAACTGTGAAAGACTCAGAAACTCTGATCCACACAGTGACCAACCAGGATTCCAAAGGTTTCTGTGATGACCTCCAGAGAGAGAGGAGATACACCCAGAGTGCAGATTAAAACCTGTTATTTTCTTTAATTCTTTCTTTCTTTGAACAGGGCTAATGCAGGAATTTGTTTTGTATGTCTATACAAAGGAGGAAGAAGGGAGGATATCCTGGGAGTTGGTAGATAATGGCTACTGGAATCTGAATTGAGTAATAAATTTGGACATTGTCATTGTTCAGATGTGTCTAACTCTAAGTGACCCCATGGCCAAAAGTCCTTGGGGTTTTCTTGGCAAGCATACTGGAGTAGTGTGTTATTTCCTTCTCCAGTGTGTCCCCATTTTACAGATAAGGAGTTGAGGCAAATAGAAATTAAGTGAGTTGCCACACAGCTAGTAATCTGGAGCTAGATTTGACCTCAGATCTTCCTGGCTTCAAGCCCAGTGCTTTATCCACTGTACCACCTAGCTGCCCAAATTCTGATATAGTGAATCTCAAAGAAGAGGTTAACTACTCCACTGCCTTTGGTTAGTTGGGGGTATGAGAGAAGGTACAGCCAGTAATGGAAGGGATGACCAGGTGTGCAATGTCATCCAGAAAGAACCAAAGAGGAAGAGGTCTAAAATGAAAGGAAATTTGTAAGAAAGACCTGAGTTCAAATCCAACCCAGAAATGAACTAGCTATATCACTGTAGATAAGTCACTTAACCCTGTTTGCCTCTGTTTCCTCATCTGTAAAATGAAAACAAACCTGGGAAGACCTGTATGAACTGAGGTGAAGTGAGTGAAGGAGAAGGAAATGGTAAATCACTCCAGTATCATTGCCAAGAAAACCCCAAATGAGGTCACAAAGACTCAGGACTGAACAGCAAGCACTTAATATGTACATTATCATTCATTCATACTTGAAAATGAAAGTGACATAAAAACAAAAGATAACAACATTTTGTTTTAAAAATTAAATGATTCTAAGCTATCAAGAATAGGCTGTCAACCATCTATAGTCATATAAAAAATGCTCTAAATCACTATTGATTAGAGAAATGCAAATCAAAACAACTCTGAGGTACCACATCACACCTATCAGAATGGCTAATGTGGCAAAACAGGAAAATGATAAATGTTGGAGAAAATGTGGGACAATTGGGACACTAATACATTGTTGGTAGAGTTGTAAACTGATTCAACCATTTTGGAGAGCAATTTGGAACTATGCCCAAAGGGCTATAAAAATGTGCATACCCTTTGACCCAGCAATAGCACTTCTAGGGCTGTATCCCAAAGAGATCATACAAATGGGAAAAGGACCCACATGTACAAACATATTCATAGCAGCTCTTTTTGTGGTGGCAAAGAATTGGAAATTGAGAAGATGCCCAATTGGGGAATGGCTGAGCAAGGTATGGTATATGAATGTAATGGAATACTATTGTGCTACAAGAAATGATGAACAGGCTGACTTCACAAAAACCTGGAAAGACTTGTATGGTCTGTTGCTAAGTGAAGTGAGCAGAACCAGGAGAACGTTGTACACAATAACAGCCATGTTGTGTGATGACTAACATTGATAAACTTAAC